TCTTTATGTTCTTGCACTTGTGGCCAAACACATACTTCTCATTGCAGAAATAGCACAGTCCCTTGGACCTCTTTTCATTCAGTTCTTCTGCACTCAAGGTCCTTCTATTGGTCCCTCTTGTTGTTTTTGTATTTTTATAGCTACTTGGAGTGGGTAATAAGGGAGGTTTACTTTGAAAATTCTGATCACTATACATTCTTGGTTGATTTGAATTCTGAACACGCTGTCTACAGCTTCTAAGTATGCCTCTTGCATTGTTGCCGATTTATAAGCTTGAGATAATGTGAGAGGGTTTATTATTTTTACTGCCATGTTCAACTCCTTCTTCAGACCTCCTACAAAGCAATTGATTGCATTTTCTTGTGACAGATTAACCTTGGTTAGATTCCTCTAAAAAATATCCTGATAATCTTACACTGCTCCTGTTTGTGTCACTTTTTTAATCTCCTCCATTGGGTCATCATAATCTGCCCCGAATCTTTCTACAATAGTCATTGCATACTCACTCCATGTTGGTGTCCGTGAGTATTGTCTATACTTCATGAATGACAAATGCCATTAAATAGCCTCACCTTCAAACTGTAAAGATGCAATTTATATCCTTTCCTCCATCAGAATGTTATCCATACTAAAAAATTGTTCGATCCTGAACAACCAAGATCAAAGATCTTCTCTAGAGAACCTTAAGAATTCCATCCTCAACCATTGAGAGTCTTGAGAATGGTATTGGTGAAACTACTTGCACTCTTTTCCCTGTGGAACCTTTCATCGAACAGTTTCTGTGCATCTAGCGATTCCCCTCTTTCAAAATGAATTACAACTTGATCCTTCAATTCCAACACAACTTGATCCAATCTCTTAAGATTCAACACTTTCCCTGCAAGAGTCCCCATTTCTAATAACATTTACTGCATCATCTCACGCAAGTCCCCCACTTCATTGTTAGAAGATCCATCATTTGCTCTTGTATTTTTTGTCATTGTTGTCAAGGAAAGATCAGCTCTGATACCAATGTTAGCTCAATTGCAAGAATCGATGAAGATTCTTCGATTGAGATGAACTGCTGAAGAACAACTTAAGAACAATTAGAAGAGAAGAGAAGAATTAGAGAAGAATAGAGATTTAGAGAATAGAACAATGATTTGTCTATTGATTGATCTGAAGTGTACATTTGATATGTGTTTATATACAACTGTAGTAGTGAATTATTCAGCCTAATTCTCAACTAATTGATCAACTAACCAACTCTATGAGCAGTAGTTCAATGGAACAAGAATCAACAGTAATTGTAACTAACTAACTGACAATTAAAACAGAATCTGCTGACATGACCAATACTAAATCTAATTAGCTAATTAATGTAACACCTTACAAGTAAATACCTACTAATAGTATATTTGTAGGATTAGGAGAATTTTGAACATTTCTTTCTTTTTTTTCCTCCTTTCAAACAACACTTTCTTCAGTAACAACGAAAAATCAAAATCTAATTTTCTTATAATTGTAGCCATATATATTTCTGTCTTTCAAACCAAATGAGAGTAAATTTCTCTTTAATATGATTGAGATTAGTTAGAGATTAAAATTGTATAAAACAAGCTTTTATTATGCAATTCGTTCATGTAGATTAGAGATTAGCAATTCAAAGTCTCACATCCACGATTATAAATATAAGAAGCGACACTTTTTCTAACTTAATAATTTGTATAGTTGATTAACCTGAATAATTGAAAGCACATTGCAATTTGCATAAGAGTTATTGATAAGGAAAAATATTGTGTAGTGTCATCAACATCATCATCAACATTAACATTAATGGTATGAGAAGGTTCAACTCAATTTTATTTAAAAAGCAAAAGAATCAGATGGATATACAATAATAATAATAATAATAATAATAATAATAATAATAATAATAATAATAATAATAATAATAACAACAACAACTTTAAAAAAAACATATGGAGATATGATATAGGGATAAAATGTGAAGGCATTGGGTGGAAAGACAGCCAAGATATGATAGGTGAATTACATGGTCAGAAACGGTCCCCTCCTATTTCTAATAATTTTGAAATACTCATAAAATCCCAACTATTTTACTCCTTCAAATTTATTAAAAGTTTTATTTTTAATGTCTCAAAAAAACTGTCATAATTTTATTAACTTTTAATTTTAATTTATATTCTTCGTTTACCATTAACAAAAATATAGTCAAAGTGTGTTTTTAAACCACAAAATATATGAGTCTTTCTTATTTTTAAAATTTTATATCACAAAAGTTACTGTGGGATTATAATTTTTTTAAAAAAAATAAAAATGATTGAAATGGTGTAGAAATTGGAAGGATACAAGTTAATTGGAGCATTTCCTCTTTGGTGCTAAAGAACCATCTCAGGTATATCTCTCTCTTCTTCTACTTTTATATCTTTATAATTTGTCGAATAAAAGGATATACCTTTATAATTTGTCGAAATATAAAATATTGTACCACCATTTCTTCTTCATTTTCTTCTTTCATCTTGAAACTTAAAATATGGTTGAAAAGATTAATTAATTAGGCAATTATAATTTTCACACCTATTAATATAAGAGAATAATGGGTTTAAGATTTATTTGAAGCTATTGTAATTGTAATTTAAACAACACATTACACATGCACTAGTTGTGATTTGTTATTATAATCTCCTATACATATAGGGGGGGGAGGGGTTGTTCCAATCAATAAGACAATCTGAAATTTTCCTTAGATTAAAAAGGATTTTTTTTTAAAATTTTGTCTATGGGGATTTACTTAGAAATATTGTTCTTGCGGATTTATTTTGGTAGATAATTTCATGGAAGCTAATTTAATGTAAAATGACATCATTTTTAGCTGTGAAATTTGTTGGAAATACAAGTTTGGCAAGAAATATATTCTAAATATCAAGAAATTAAAGAATTTTCCAAGAAAATCTGCAAGTATTATCTGCAAAAATATTCGTCAGGTTATATTCTCATGTAATTTGAAGTTTTATTATAGTGTAACATGATACATAATAAATTTGAAACATCATAATGCATAACCAAATAAAACATAAGAATCAAATAAGCTTATTTCATAAATCTTAACAAAGCCAATACAAAGTTTCTCTTTTTTGAATGCAAATTACCAACTTACATCAACCACTTCTAGTTATTTATAGTTTTTCGATTGGGTTTAGAATGGTGAGAAGAAGCAAAGTGGAGTTGGTTTAGAACTTAAAATATGATTGTGAACCGGTATTAGTAGTAATAAATAAATTTGAGGTTTTAGACACGTAAATAAAGAAGCTAATTAATCATATCTATATATGTGTTGAATCCATCCTATTTTTTAGTCAACTTTAGCTATTCAATTGCTACAAGCAATTGTTAAAAAAGAATAGTAATTGTAGTTGAAAATAAAAGATTTGATAGTTGACAAATTGGTAAGATTTGCAACTATTCTTTGACTTTGCTATATTTACATATGTAATTAGTGACATAGGCATGGTTTTATCCTTCTATAAATAAATCATTCTTGCTTATTTGTAGAACACACCAAGTTAGAGAGAAAAATCATTTTGAGAGCAAAGTGAGGTATTCCATAGACTATACAAGAAAATAGTCTGTGAAGAAAAATAGAGTGTGAGCTATATTTTAGTAACAAGAAAATCAAAAAAGTGTTGTTCATTTTGAGTGTGTAATAGTCACTTCGAGTATTATATTCGTGACTACACAGTGTAAAATTCCTTACTATAGTAATATCAATTGCTCCTCTTGGTCCGTGGTTTTTTCCCCTATTCAGAAGGGTTTCCACATAAAATTCTTGGTGTCGTTATTTTTCCATTTTATTTTCATTACTTTTACCATATATATTTTTGTGCTCGTTCGCGTTTTCCAACAATATGCACTATGAAGGGACTCTCCTAAGTGCTAAGTGTGTGTTATATATATATATATAATATAAAAAAAGTTTTCTGGATACAAACTAAACATATAGCATATCATATACTAGTTTTTGGAGAGAGAAAGTAGGCAATTAAACATATAGTATATCATATACTAGTTTTTGGAGAGAAAAAGTAGGCGATTATGAGGGATAGAGAAGATGATTTTTTATCTTTTGTGGTCCCTGTTTTTTACCCACACCATTAGGCTATGGCTATGAGACACAAAACAAAATAAATAATTAATTCACAATTTCCTTGTTTCAATCCTCCTAACAAACATCATAAAGCGCAACTCAATATAACTTTCTATAAAAAAAAAAAAAAAAAAAAACTTTCTATTCATATTGAAAAAATATTAACTATTCTATTTTGTCCACTTAATTATAATATAAATAGTACATGTCTCTACATGTCCAACCAGTGAGTGCCTGATTGATTAATTTTACTAGTTTATCCTTTAATTCATATTAATTAGTTTTTTTGAGTATCTTCAAAACTCATTGAGATAAAATTACTAATTAATTATATAAATAATACGGAGTAGTATTTTTTGTGTTTTTATTGGGCTCCAGATCAAGATTTAAACAATTGTCTTTTCAAAAATAAATAATAATTTGTCCAAATTTTATAGAGTGGGGTGAAGAAGAAAGAATAAAATAAATTTTAGTCCTTCCGTTCGGTATTGTTTGTCATGATTTTTATTTTTAGAGTCAAACTATAAAAATTTTGACTAATATTTTAAAATGTATTTTTTCATCATATTAATATGCAAAAAATTGTAATTTATTGTATTTTTCATATAGTTTTAGAATATGTAATTTTTTTGTTTAAAATATCGAATTAATATAATTTAATTTACCTTTAAAAAATAATTAAATTAACTTTTGATAAGCGCAACATAATAAATAATTTTTTTTAAAAAAAGAATATCTTGTTTTTGGTGGACCCAATTATGTGTTTGTTCAAAACATAACATAAAGTATTGGACCCATTCTCTAGTTTTAGTTCAACATTCAATTTTATACTACTTTTTAACTTTTATTTATTGAAAGGTTGGAGTGGGAATTGAGAAGCAGCCACCCACCCACCCACCCTATGGATAAAAATAGAAGGCTGTTGATAGCACTCATTGTAGCTTCTACTGCATTAGGACTAATCTTTATCTTCATCATTTTATTCTGGATTTTTCACAAAAGATTTCACACCTCAGGTACATACATTTCTTCACACAATTATAATTATAATTATAATTATAATTATAATTATACTAATGTTAATTTTTGATTCTGAAGATGTTGTGAAGGGAATGAGTAGGAAAACATTGGTTTCTTTAATGGACTACAACATACTTGAATCAGCCACCAACAAATTTAAAGAAACTGAGATTTTAGGTGAGGGGGGTTTTGGATGTGTGTACAAAGCTAAATTGGAAGACAATTTTTATGTAGCTGTCAAGAAACTAACCCAAAATTCCATTAAAGAATTTGAGGTATCTACCATATTATCAAACAATTTTATTTCTTTCTTTCTTTCTCACAAATCCTATTACTAACTATTTGTTATATATTTGCAGACTGAGTTAGAGTTGTTGAGTCAAATGCAACATCCCAATATTATTTCATTGTTGGGATATTGCATCCACAGTGAAACAAGATTGCTTGTCTATGAACTCATGCAAAATGGATCACTAGAAACTCAATTACATGGTGATTAGTAATAAATTTGAATTATCAAAATCAATTACTCTACTAGTTTTCATTTCTTGTTTCCATAGGGCCTTCCCGTGGATCAGCATTAACTTGGCATCGCAGGATAAAAATTGCCCTTGATGCAGCAAGGTAGACAGGCTAGACCATTTATTAATTTGAATGATTCATGATTCATGATTCATGACATTTGATATTTAACAAATTTGTACCTACAGAGGAATAGAATATTTACATGAGCAGCGCCATCCCCCTGTAATTCATAGAGATCTGAAATCATCTAATATTCTTTTAGATTCCAACTTCAATGCAAAGGTAAAACTTTTTATGTAGAAATTATACTAGGACTAGTTTTCCCTCTATTAATCTTGTGTTGTGATTAATTTTAGCTGTCAGATTTTGGTCTTGCTGTGTTGAGTGGGGCTCAAAACAAAAACAATATCAAGCTTTCTGGAACTATAGGTTATGTAGCGCCTGAATACATGTTAGATGGTATGTATTCTATTTCACACACATTTTACTTACTCTACAAATTTCCTTTTTTCTATAGAACAAAAGGTTGAAAGTGTGACAAGTTGCAAATTATTAGTTTCGTCCCAAACTATTGACAGTTCCTGAGAATTTAGGGGTGTAGTTCGTTCACTTATGTTGTAAGATCGGGTTGCATATAAGTTTAGTTAGTGAGGTATCTTTAAGGCTATCAATTGTTCAGGGATGAAACTAATAAGTTTAGAGGTGTTTTCGATACTTTTCTCTTTGTCAAAAAGGTATAATTATAAATACTTTAACCAATTGAGATCCTTTTAAAATAGTGCCACTTAAATTTTCATTTCTTTGTTTTACAGGAAAATTAAGTGATAAAAGTGATGTTTATGGTTTTGGAGTAGTACTTTTGGAGCTGTTATTGGGAAGGCGGCCTGTAGAAAAGGAGGCAGCCACTGAATGTCAGTCTATAGTGACATGGGTAAGTAATGGTCTGAGATCCACTTCACTCTGAAATTGAACTTGTCTAAAACTCTTTATGGAATTGTAGGCCATGCCTCAGCTGACAGATAGATCAAAGCTTCCAAACATTGTTGATCCTGTCATACAAAACACAATGGATTTAAAGCATTTGTATCAGGTTTCTGCAAAAATTAGTGCCATTTAGCTAGGGTTCAACATTTTGTTATTTTCAGTTCAGAGCTCTGAAGTCTGTGTTGTGGTAATGTGTAGGTTGCTGCAGTTGCTCTATTATGTGTTCAGCCAGAGCCAAGCTATCGTCCCCTAATAACCGATGTATTACATTCCTTAATTCCCCTTCTTCCCACACAATTAGGTGGGACGCTACCGCCTTCTTACTGCTGATCCATTCCAATTATGTATGCTCTCGCCTTACACATTTTTGGCTATTTTTTATTTATAATACAACCGTCCTATTAACCATGTGTTAGGTATAAATAATTGTCATATATTTGTACTTCTATAAGAAGATGATTTATTTCAGATGCTTGGCTAAATCATCAATTATAAAGTCTTTGTTCACGAGAATCTGGACAAACCATCAGTATGGTTATTATAATTCTCTGTTTTAAGGTTATAATTTTTTCTTCAACTCTCTACGCTATTATACTAAGCCGTATGAGCAAGCTTTATCCACAAATTTGAATGGAACTACATTTTCTACCCTCACGACCTTTCATGTTACAATCAGAGATCCAAAGGGTTAACCGTTAAGAGCACAAGGAAATAAAAATGCAAATGATCGAGTGTGCCTGGGGTAGGTTTTGAATCTCAACAAAACAGCATATGAGAGAATTCTCTGCAAAATTTTGGCTACAGACGAATTTTTTTTCCAATGTTACATCTCTACAAAACTTTCAAAAGACAACTCATTCTAGATTTAGAATACTTGTCTAATATTGATGTTGATTCTAGAAGTCTTAATGTACTCCAACAAAGCAGAATCCTCTTCATCAGAAAACAGCAATTCAAGGGAGGATATCTCAGCATTTTCTTTATCAGTGAAGATCCTAGGGACACCTGCAAGGCACAACCAACAAATTAATGCATTTCAAAAAAGTTCTTTTTTTTTTTCTCATTTCCAGCACACCTCCCCACAAACCGAAACAATATGGCTGCTATAATGGTCAAATGGGGAAAAAACATATAATGCTGACAATGTTTTCAAAAGCAAAAGGGTTCAATGAATCGACCAGTTCTCTATTGAATCACTTCGCTAGTCATTCTTTCGAGCACACTTTTCTAAAGCTCATTGCTTCACCCATGAAGCGGTGAAGCAATAATCCCTTGGGAAATTTTGAAAATCACCCCATCGTTTTAGACAAACAAGAATATAATTTTTAGTAACACTAAGCAATGAGAACTTCTCAGTAAGCAATTATAATACTCATAAAAATTACAGTAATAATCTTATATCATTAACTTAGGCATTTCACTCCCTTGTTAAAACTCAAAAAACACACTGCTAGGATTTTCAGGAGTTCTGACAGAGGAAGTCACAAAAACACAGATAGAAACCAGCTTGTTGAAATGAATCTTCAATTGCAGTAAGATGTCGTTGATACTTTTCGATGACATTTCTCAATAACCTCAGTGTATGAAAAAACTGATGATTTAACACTTTCTAATGATCTTCTGTGCCAAAAGATTTTCGTTGACCTTACCGTCAGTATATTAGAATTTATTTATTTTTTCTTTCAATGGTGATCCATCAAAAAATTAAAACATCTGATATATTATTTGACCTTTTCAACAAATAGGCCGTAGAAAGCTCGACGTGCTGAAAAATATTTTGATTTTCTGACAGTAGGGTCGTCAAAGTGTTACATTTTCAGAAAAAATGTTAGAGCACTTCTATTGCTTTCTTTATTTCAGTTTTCAAACTTGTATGTGATGTATTATGTCCCAATCACTTTCTTGATGTAATAGATGGCTTATTGAGACTTATATTAGACTTCTGCTTTTGTCAAACTCTTTAAATGAATTAAGACTGTCCTCTTGAAATTTTTGTTTCTATCTTGTATGATGCATTGCTAAGTGGCTACTGTAGGGCCTTTTGGGGTTCTACACGTCACGTTACGCCTGGGGTATACTTTGGGTCGTGACAACGAGCCAGGGAAGTTGGGCAATTTCAAAGCACTGAATCAAGGATCGCAACCAAACCTGAAATTTTGGTGAGGAGGAACTCATCAACCCTCCTCACACTGCGAGGTCCCTTGATGAGCATCTCAGTTTTTCATACCATAGTTTTGATTAGCATGAGCCGAGTTTTTATTGGCATGAACAGCCTCTTATACACCCTAGGCCATATATAAACCCCAAGAAACGTCTTTTGAGGGGACACTTTTGAGGGCAAGAACCACACCAGAAGCAAGGGCTAACGATATTAAGAAATGAGCTTCGTGTTTCTCCCATTATTTGTTGTTGTTTATGAATTTTAGTCTTGAGCTTTTGAGTAAAATTATGAGTAGCTAAATTTAGAATATTGACGGAAACATTTATTGAATGATTTCTTGCCAGTGTTCAAATATAATTGGCTATTTGCCAGAAAATAGGCATAGTTCAATTTGTATGAGTTCAAGGACATCGGTCATGATTTAATAGCTTGATTATGAGTAGTCAAATGTGTTCATGTATGTAAGTAAGAAATGAGATAAAGATAATAAACTAAGTAACGGAAGTTGTATGTATTTGACGGTTTTCTCAACAAAAAAAATAGTAAGCAAAGAAAGTCGTATGGAGCAGTAGATCTCCGATATGTTCGTTTTCACGGATCCGCGGATGTTTGAGTGTTCTTAGCTTCATATCCGAGAATGATTCAGTAAATGCTATAATTTAAGGACTTAGGTTATGATTGGTTATGGAAGAAAACATCTTGACCGTTGTTGCCGGAAAATCTCCACCTCCAATAGAGTCTCAAGCACATATTGGAAAAAGTGGATTCACTTGATTTGAACAACAAGACACCTGTTAGGGATACTATTCTAATCTAGAACATTGTACTGAGGGCAGAATAGTATTTGTAACTAGTGTATCTTTTTCTTTCTGCATTTTATTTATTCAGTCAGTTAAAGAGTGTGTTAGATTATGGATTGCTTTTCCAAGTTTTAGTCTGTATAAATATTTACACCATCTCTTGTACAAAAATATACACAACACATAGAGGTTTATCTCTGCAAATCAGTCTCTTCATTACAGTTTTTCTCAACCGCTTAATTTAAGACCAAGGGGGGCGGGGGGGAGGGGGGAGGAGGAAGGGGGTTATTGTCTCATTCAAATGGTGAAGGAGGTTTTTTTCCCATGCCCAAAAGGTAAAAGGGGTTCAGTTGAATTTACTCAAAAAAAATGATCTTTTCAACAGCTTCCTCCAGCTACTATCAGTGGCAGTCAAACCACTAACCACACAAATACCCATTTCTCATCAAAATATGCGCAGACCTCAGTCTCCGTACAGCATAAGATCACTAATTATTTGAGCCTTCTGTAGATGAACTTGAAAATGAAAAAAATAATATTCTTGGCCTTTTATTTTCTTAATTTAACTTGGTATCTAAGAATGCTAAACCTCAGTATAAGCTAGTTCTTCAAGTAGTTCATGTTTGACCATTCTAGATCATCAAAAAATGGGAACAAGACTATTTATTCCCAAGTAAAATCAGCTGAACAATGTAAAATACTTCTACCAGTAGACCAAGAATGATTTAAAAAGTTTTACGACCAAATTTCTGTCAACTACATATAGATGCCCAATATCCTACAATAATCATCACTTACTACTAGCACACCACAAACAGAAAACTAGAAGATAAGTAGTCAACTAACCATGGAAGCATTCCCTTGCTTGTCCTGCCATAAGAATAACATCACCACTTCGAACAAACATTGCAAGAGGTGGAACCTCCCTAGACTTTCCCCCGATAAGGAAAATGCCTTTACAGCCCAAGCTACAGAGAAAAAAGAACACTTGTCAGGCCTTAGTAACGTTTCCTACATATCAAAGTTTGAACTTAATTCAAGTAGAAAGAGCTGTAAGAAATCAGTACTTACCTCATGCTAACAATAGGCTTACTCCAATCCTTCTCCATGTCATCAAGGTGGCCACCAAGTGTGTCACCTTAAAGGAGTAGAGAAAACTAGAATTAGCAAATAAGAAGTCAACTGTAGTGGCTCATTTTTATAAACACTTAGTATCGGTATAGATTCATATGCTTGAGACCTAGAAGACAAATATTTGAGAATGGGTACCTAGACCAAAGTAATTGACAATTGCTGCTTCTGCCTGGAACACTTCACCTAATGGCAGGGTAGGTGCTGCCATTCTTTCAGCCAGTAGGCAAAGTGCATCAGGTATCTTGTTGTGAGGCAGAGAAATATTATAGCTCCGCTGAGCAAATGCAAGGAAAAAAAAATCAGAACAGATACTAATCAAGGAAATAAAAACTATGAAAACAATCCAAGGTTAAATAAAATTAAGCACATAAAAAGAGTACAAAATATACTGTACGGAAGAAGGAAGGAATGCTGAGTGTACAATTGCTAAAAACTCTCATCAGCAGGAATAGACACAAGAAACTAATGTTACAGCACAATGAACAACTTACTCAAAAGACAATATATCGTCAGTGCTTAGCTAAAATATCAATAACATTTGTGGACTTAGATAAGGTCATGAAATAATTTGAGGAAGGAAGGAATGCACAATTCCTATTTCATTGGTATCAGTGAGTTTTAACAGCAAGTGAAGAAACAAATGGTACCACAATAAGAATCACACGATGGTATTCAAAGCCTACATAACTTGTTCGGCTCACATATAAAATAAGCCCAACTCCTATGAATACTTTAAAAAGGGTATTATGATGCACAAATGAGAAATATTGAATATCCTCACATCACTAGGACTGCATGCAAATGAGCAACAAGCCATCTAAATGAACCTTTGAACAAATATACTGCAGTTTATGAGGAGAAACTCAGCAAGACCTTCGACCAGTCAAACTGCAAGCCAAGGGTGCTCCACCGTAACTTACGAAGCAAAACAGAGGCTAACACTGATTTGCATGTAACTCCTTTGGATAATGCACCTGATTGATCAAAAAAGTTCCATGTGGGAACATTTATGTCGTTTTCAATGATTTCCACCTCAGAATTATTGGTTCCACAGTACTGCTCCTCTTGAATTAAAACTTTATTATCCTTGGCAGCAGCAAATAAGTCCTGTAGAGGCCCATAAATTGCATTGTGGTTGGTCCTGTTAGGAGGTTGGGGAAAGCTTGTTAAACTCTCCTTTATCCACCGGCATTGCTCCTCAACGGGTAATGCTCCAGGAATGAAATAAAACCCTGCAACAATCAGGACAAAAGCTTCAATGTACAGCATGCTAACAACAGAAGATTAATTGAGAATTAATGTCATCAACCGACTATGCCTCAACACATAACAAAGTTGCAGCCAGCTATAGTCCTCTATAACCATTCACTATATTCAGGCCCAAATCATTCCATTGCTACTTTGCCTATAAATAAATTTCCTTCAAGAAAAATATGAGCTGTAAAACTAAATGAACTCTCATTACTATCATATACTTAACATACAAGTCAGGACTACAAAGATAGTGAAATAATGTATTGAAGTAGATTTTTAATAAGTACATCATTAAGTTATAGTTCACCTGTCAATTCTATACACGTAAATTATGGAGATTATGTTGAGTAATAGGGTGTTTAAGGATTGGTTTCCTATCATAATGAGCTTTACGAATTACATATTGTATGTATGGTTGTTACCCGTTGTATTGTATTGTTAGTCTAAACAATGTTTGTTTTGATTGTTACTTAAATTCTATTGTAGTGTATTGTTTAAATCCATCTTTAAGTAACAACAAAAAGACCCAATTTATGTAACAACCGATTCGGTGTGATCGTGTCGTCACCTCAATATTTTCTTCTCATTTTGTCTTTATTTATTATTTAATAATTACATTTCATCTTTTAGCTAACTTTTTGATAGTAGCTCTACCCGTACTCTACTTTTCTTACAGGTTTATCATTCAAATTATGGATGTGTGACAATATGTAAGTACAATCTATCCAAACATCATATTCATTAGAACAATACAATACGTAACAACCATCCAAACAACTCTCAAAGGTCACATCTTTTTTTAAAAAAAAAATAAAATGACCTGGAATTGTTTACTGATGAAAGTTGAAGATAGATATTCTTAATAGATAAGTCAAGTCCAATGGAAATTGTGCAATATTAACGTGATAAGGCATACCGGGATGACTTTCCAAGCAGAAGATAGGAGTATGGAGATCGCAATGAATTGGGAAAATGCCTGAGGGAAGTTCAGCATTTCTGTGGTAAGCCTCTGAAATTGACTTGAAATCAGTAACGTCAGACAAATCTACTGGTCTGGGTTGCTTTTTCCTGAGTTGAACAACAACAGATTAGTACACGTAAAAGAGATGCAAGTATTCTATAAGAAACTTACTTTCGGGTATTGTCGTAATACAGCTTGTATTTCTTTTCAGCCATCCTGAAAGCGGTTCGCTCTGCATCTTCTGTGGGACCGTACATCTTCTACTACCCCTAAAAACACATAAATCTTTCAATTAGGGTTCACGCCCTTCCATCACAAAATTTAACTTATCAATCAACTATGCTGACAACTTTCCAAGTTTAGGTCTGTTTGTTTTCATCTCAATAACTAATACTTCATTTGTTTGTTTGGAAACATCTCAATATTTAGCTTTTTAAAAAAATAAAACTACTTAAACACAATAAATATCAAATATAACATTATCAATAAATATTTATAAAAATACACCATTTTAAAAAGAAAATGTTAAGATATTTGAACTTATAAATAGATATTTTAAGTTTGATAAATACAAAACAAAATTAAATGAACTACATATATAAAATACTATAATAAAGATAATTATTAGGGAAAAAATGTAGTCATCATTTTTTAAAAAAAAATCAACATAAATTAATCATCACATAATCAACACGAAATAACACACTATTACAACAATGAGAATTCTATCACAATTAGTATTCCTCCTATTTTTGAACTTGAGGTCCTTTATTCCTTCAAATTATTGGGTTTATCTACTGCCAAACAACAAAAGAAAACCTAGTCGGCTCAAAAGTGACCAAATAAGGATATAGCAAGACTCTATGAAATAGGGTTTCCTAAGTGAGTCTTCAACTTCTTCATTCCCTGACCCTTCCACATCTCTAATGAAGCTCCACCTTGTTACCCCTTGTTACCCCCAACAATAATCTTTGCTTCCTTCTCATATGGATGATTAACATATTCCATCGCTAGCCTTCTCTTATAGTGTCAAGATCAACTTTCAAAGTTACTTCTTCATTTTCTTCTCCGATTTTTTTTCTTTTCATTTCTCTATTGATTTATCTCATCTTTAGATGTACTATCCGATTTGGATGTATGAGCTCTATCGATCTTGGAAAAGACTATGAACCCTTCATTCCAGCTTTGAAGATCCTTGTAAGTAACTATTTCTCATATGCCTTGCGTCTCTGCTGATATTCTAACCTTTTCCTTCTTGTAGTTGAAGTAGAAAAGGAGAAAACCAAATTGCTCTTAAGTTTTATCTTGATCTCCTAGCTAAATACAAGTTAAGAATACAGATCCGACTCCTCGACTCTCATGTTTTTTGGTGCTTTCATAACTTCTTGTTAGCTATCATAACTTAGGATAAATATGATAGCTTAATATAAATAGTCCATTACATCTTGTTTTCTCCTTATATAGATGTTACTTGACTTATAAACATAGTTGTGGAGTTATTTGCATTTGTTGTGTATTTAAGCATGTTAGTTGTTGTTATTGATGTTAATTTTCCTTATCTTGACTCTTACTGAAGGAATTTGTTGCTTGTTAATATTAGGTATTCTCCTTGCTCAACTTGATAATTGATTATAGTTTTGAAATTTTGAATTCCCTCTGTACCAATAGCTACATTAGCAATAAAGTCTACTAAATGATTTGAAATTCTCTAGATATATTCTTAATTTGAACATTTACGTTCTTCATGATTTCCTAAATATATGTCACTCTCTCAACTATTTCTCATGGTATTCTCCAATTCTTGACTAGCATGTTTTCTCACACTAATCAAATTTATCTCAAGAGGATTTGTTGAAATCCATTTCTTAAACGGAAACACAAAACTTCTCAAATAGCTATTGATTTTGCTTTCATGTTTGTAGTTATCCCAATATTCTCTCCTTTTGCATATGCTAGATCTCCACCATTATTTCTAATAAAAAATCATATTCATTATTTTCTCGATTACCTTTACTAGCACAATCAGTGTTGCATGTGATCCATCTTTCTTTCAATAACTTTCGATTCACTATAAGGTAATCGAGAGTAAGTTTATATCTCTACAACATGTCCATAGTTTCTTTCCATTGACATGGAACCTTCTTGGGCAATGGGAACTTTCCTTCTAACCAACTGATGTATTTTCATCTAATAATGGTTCATTCACTTGAGTGAATGTTCATTTCAGTGTCTTTTTGCATTTCTCCTTTTCTATAATTCCCACATTATGATAGTTGGGGATTGCCTTTAATATTTTTGTTAACTTATTTGATGTCTTGTGTTCCCATCATGGGATAATGAGTTGTTGAAGATGAATTCCTTTAATATTTGTACATGTACATGAAATAAAATGCTTTTATAGCCTTTGAGCTACGGAATCTGTTAGTAAAAGATGTATTATTATTTTCATTCTCCATACTTATAATAATTGCATTTTGAAACCACTTGCAGCTAACATTATTATTAGTAAAAACTCTCTTTATTTCATACTCCCTAATGAAGAAGACAATTTTAAAAAGATGACCCTTGATCCAGTTTTTTTTACCCTTTTTTGTTCCACTACTCCCACTTAAGTTGTTGAAAATCGACCTCACTATGAACCTCCCTTTGTTTTCTCCTATCCACCAAGCCTTATCTATGTCGTCCTCAGATATATGATCTTTGAATTTCTTAACATATCCCATATTTAGTTTATAATGAAATTTTTAACCTCCAATTTCTCTTCTATTATGACATCGTCTTCAGTAAAGGACCAAGCCACTTGTCTAGTTCAGTTGTTAAATCATAAACTAGAAGTTTTTAACTTTAAGTTGCCACCAAGTATTGTGTTCCATCTCCTCCCTCACATTTGTCATTTTTTCTCCAAACATGAGAGGTTCCTATTATTCTCATTCCTTATTCCTTTCTTATATTGCAATTTACAAAAAATTATAATTCCAATATTAATTTCATGCACAATATCTATATATGTATGGGTGCTATTAAAAAATTAATATCGTAACACTTGTAACTATGAATTGTAATCAATATTATTTATATATGAAAATTTTAAATAAAATATTATTATTATATATATTACGCCCTGAGTCTACACCCTAGATATAACACAACGTACAAGACTCTAAAGAGCCTCATAACATTCATAACATAGGATAAATGAAATAGTGCAGAATTAAAACCTTTATTTAAATCTATACAATCGAAAAAATTTATTTAAAAACACAATATATGTCTACAATCTCACATGTCCATCTAAACAAGTATTGAAATTAAAAGTAAAGTCACGACCCTTCACAATTGAAAGTCTTAAACAAAGTGTAGAAATAGTCTATCACAACAAAAGATATAAAACATCATGTACTTGTCCTCAGATCATGAGGATATACCACTAGCCTTGAAAGAACTCAATCCAAGTATTTATTCACGACGGGAATCAAATTGAGTGTCAATCCCTACACTTTGTAGAAAATAAAAGAAATATGGGTTTACACATTTAATGTACTAAGTGTGATAGCCAGGCAAAACTATGCTTAAAAAGGAAATTTTCTTTGAAAATCATGATATATGCCAATTTGAAAAAACTTCATGAACATAAGTATAAGAGGCACAAGATAAACACAATCAACATTCAAGTAATTTCATCACATTAAACCTTCACCTCAAGTAATCTCAAGCTATATTTTGTGCAATGTATGAATAGAGTCTCATACCACCATCCACAGTAAGTACCACATTAAGGCCACCAAAATTGAATTTACCATTCCTCCTTTTCATCTTTGAACCATACTCATACATAAGGAAACATAAACATTTCATAAGTCATGATAAGGAAAGTAAGTCATAAATAAAATCCAAGTAAAGCAAGCATCAACTCATTGAACATTTAAGTCAACATTCTTCATTAGCTTCATTAAGAGAGCATTCATTCATTAGTCATTAAGACCTTAGAGAACTCACTATAGCCCTCTTAAAGTCTACTCGTGCAATACATGAATGACATCCCATACTACCACCCATACTTCATAAAACTTATCAGGAAATCATAGTGCACATCTCAAATGATGGGAATAAGCATTTAAACGACATAGACTATGTGAGCTTGGCATGAAATTCGGTGCCATGAACCTTCATGCCGTAAAGAAGTAGTCTACTTGCCTAAGGTAGGACCGGTAATATTTTAGCTTAGGTGGATCCACTAGCTATACCTTTGTGGGCACAAAGTTATGGGATAGGACAATGTTCATTGGAACCCTAACCTAACATTGAGAGATTTTCTATCTTACCATATTATAACATTTCGGAAAATCATATGTCTAGTGAAGAGCCAGTAAGTCCGTTAGAATACATATTGGGGATACATAGGCATTCCAATGAACAATACTGAAAAATATTGGGCATAGTATAGAAAAATGGCTAAAGGGTAGCCAATTTCTATATATACCCAAATAAGCAAAAAATAGTCCAAGCTTGTTTAGAAATGTACCAGCAAAAAATACCCTAAACTAAAATGCTTTTTCCTTTAACTCACAAAAAGGTATGAGGCATCCAAGTGTCAAGCCTAGATACCATGTCACATGATCAATTAAAATGATCATGTAGAGTAAGCAGTGCCAGAGGACATAACGAGGATCCTTAAGACAATAAGTAAACATTCCCAAAGGAACCATAAATAATAGTTAGTTAGGAAAGTACAACAAACCCATGTACAAGCACATGTTCAAGGCATGTGAAGAAGCACCAAAGGAGGGGACCACCCTAACCGAATTCGGTTAGGGTAGTTAAGGGGACAAAACGTGTATAAGGGATCACTTCATGTGGGGCCTAAAGTCCTAACCAATTTTAGACTCTAACATACTTCCCCAAATATCTAAATAACCTAGTACTAACTGAAATGGACCTACTAGTGCACCTGACAACCTAGGCCAAAAACGGGTTGACACTAACCTAGTACTAGTTAAAGAGACAACCTAGTACCTAACATATGATGGTCAAAAAGGTTAGTTATGGTCCTATAAACTAAGGGGTACGTAATTAATTCCCCTAGGTTATCTAATTAATTTATTTATCAAATTAATTAAATAATTTAAAAGGGCTAAAACCAAAACTATAAGGAAATTTTCAGATTTTGGTTAAGACAAGAAAGGGACAACCTAGTACCTAACCTAGGATGATCCAAAGAGTTGGTTAAGGTCCTAACAACTTAGGGATACTAGTTAATTAATTAATTTACTAACTTAATTAATAAATTTAAAGGGTCAAAACTGAAATCACAAAGAAGTTTCAAGATTTCAGTTGAGACAAGAAAAAGACAACCTAGTATTTAACCTAGGATGGTCCAAAGGATTAGTTATTGTTATAACGAA